AGAGTATGGCAGAAGGATATGGGAATAAATCAATTTGAACCAATTCAAGAGAGTTAAACTCAGAAATAGCTAGGAGTGTTGTTGCCCTGTTGTGCTGGGGACTAATTACCTAGCTGGATGTTTGTCACTTGGACTCCTCTGTTGGCCCGATGACAGGGGCTGCTGCTGGAGTTTCTTAATTCTCCGTGGCTTCCTCAGAAAAGGACAAGTTTCATCTCCCCACCCCCATCCCCGTACCCCGTACTCTCAGCGGGCCCCTGAGCACACTCAGGCTCAATAACTGGCAATTCTCGGAGACACTATTTTGCAAGTTGTGTGTATGTGCGCGTGTCCAGAAACTTCGTAATTAAAATGCAAGTCCTGGATCTGCCAGGTCGCTCAGTGGGTAAAGGCGCTTAGACCCAAGCATAAGGGAACCTGAGTTTCATCCCCAGGGCCCAAAGGATGTTAAGAGAAACCAACTCCAGTGGCCTGTGCTGTGCCCTCCATATGTGTGCGTATGCACAAGGTATAGACACACACAAATAAATGGGTGCAAATTTAGATAAAATAAATACAAATAGTTCTCCTGTTTCCAGTGACAGACTCTGAGGCCGATGAGAAAGCACAGCTCTGCCTGTAGATTGCCCAATGTGACTTTCTGTCACCTCGGCACTATGTGGTATAGATCTTCCTGGGTGGACCTTGCGTCTGGTTGGCTAGCTAGCTTTTGGGGCACGGGATCAGTTATCAATATGTTACAAATAAATTCCTCAGATTAGTACATGAAAATACGATTCTTTAGTGGGCACTAAGTCCTTGTTGGATGGGGAAAGAGGCTCTGGAAAGCTGCCGTCCCACAGGAGAAAAGGCGCTCAAGGTCTCTACAGTGGGGCTGGAGAGATGGCTCAGGGGTTAAGAGCACCGGCTGCTCTTCCAGAGGTCCTGAGTTCAATTCCCAGCAACTACATGGTGGCTCACAGCCATCCGTTATGAGATCTGGCGCCCTCTTCCCGCCTGCAGGCATACATGCAGGCAGAACACTGTACACATTATAAATCTTTAAGAAAAAGAAAAGTCTCTGTGAGTTTGATGTCAGTAAGTTCCAGGACAGGCTTCAGAGCTACAGAGAAACCCTGTCTTGAAAAACAAAACCAAAAGCCTCCACTGTAAACGACAGATTTTTGGTAGGAGGAAGCTTTAAACACTGTGTAATGTAATGTTATACACTTTGATGTATCATATGGTACCCAATAAAGAGAATTTAAGTGTATCAGTTAAAATGAGGGCTGGAGAGACAGATGGCTCAGTGGTTAAGAGCACTGTGTTCAGTTCTCGGCACCTACATGACAGCTCACAACCGTCTTTAACTCCATTTGCAGGGCATCCGATGCCCTCTTACTGCCCCCAGGGGCACGACAGATAAAACCCCCATACTCATAAAATAGAAATTAAAGAAGAAAAAAAAAAAACGGGTTGGAGAGATGGCTCCGTAGTTAAGAGCATGTACTCTGCTATAAAGCGTTGGAAAAGTTGAAGGTTACAGGGTCCCGGCATATCTCAGCCTGCCACGGGCAGGAGGAAATGCCAGGAAAAAAAAAAGTCATGGCACCAATGTTATGATAAAGTGAGTGGGGACTCTTGGCGGATTCCGTGGCAGGCGAGGGTGAGTCAGGGAACAAACATCCCAGGCAGACAGAGCTTAGTGAGAGTTTTATTAGAAAGGAAAGGGGGTTGGGGAGTAAAGAGAATAGAGGTAAAGAGACAGAGACACAGAGAGAGGACAGAAGAGAAGAGGGAGACAGGAAAGGGAAAGTCGTGTCTATCCCAGGGAAACCGAGGGGAAGAGAGCGCTTAAAGGGGTCCTTTGCACCTGCGTGCAAACTAAATGCCGTCATGGAGCCCTGGGCTGACCAGGGTACTGCCTGAGTGCATTCTGCCAGGCGACAGGAACAGGCCAGCATAGTGCCTGAATCCTTACATACTCCACTAGCAGAGGACCTGGGCTGGGTTCCCAGCACCCACAGCGATGGCTTTTATTCCTGCTCCAGGAGATCCAGCATCCATCCTTTTCTGGTCTCTCTGGGCCACAATACTCTCATGCCCAAATCCCAGTTTCCCCCTACATACATATACACATATTTAAAGTAAATAAATATTTCTTCAAATGCATAAGCCAGGCATGGCAGTATACGCTAAGGTGCTGAACTCTCCCACTTGACAAATGAATTTGGGTTTCAGTTCGCTGAGAAGGACACACAGGTGTCTCTCCTAACAAAGAGTTAATTATCCACTATAACTTCAGGGTCGAGGGAGAAAACGGAGGGCCTAAGTCAGCCTCACAGTATCTCAAGAACAAATCCAGCAGCTCCCCCCTTCTGGGTCACACCCAAACTTATGCATTTGTGTCCAAAAATGATTAATCCTCAGCCAATTAGAGATATACTAACGTAACTGATGCTTGCTTAACCAATTAAATTTGAGATCACCTAGTTAACCGTAAAACTCTCCTTTACTTAAAAGGAGACTACACTTTCCTCTCGGGGTTTGTCGTCATTTTGTACAGGTGAAGACCCCACACGCATGTGGTATAATAAACGCTCTTTGCGCTTACATACTATTTGAGCTGGGGGTCTTCCTTCAGCCCCTACAGTGCCTGTAAAGCCAGCACTCGGGAAGAGAGGGCAGAATAGTCAAAGAGTTTAAATCAAGCCTCAGCTGTGTAGAGTTTCATTCCAGCCTGAGATACATGAGAACAGGTCTCAAAAATTTTTATTATTAAAAAATAAGCTGGCGGGGCGTTGGTGGCACACGCCTTTAATGTCAGCACTCAGGAGGCAGAGGCA